TGGACCTGAAAGGCAAATTCCAAGTCTGTAGGACTGGTCCCTGAGATTGACCTCTGTCCCCACCGGGTTGAGAAGAACAGTTTTCTAAAAGTGTCCTAGAGGGGATCCAGGAAATTACAGGGCACTTAGCCTAACATCTGTCCTAGGTACATTAGTAGAAACTGTTGTTAAGGAGAAGATTATTAAGAACATTGAGGAACAAGGCCTGCTGAGGAAAAATATTCTGCTATTTTAACATATATTCTGTGAGCCGCCCTGAGCCTGCCTTGGCGGGGGGGGCGGGATACAAATAAAACAAACAAACAAATAAAATCAGCATGGTTTCTGGGAAGTGAAGCCCAGAAGCTAGTTTCCTGGGCAGGTTAGCTAACCCATGCATAAGGCCTGCTCCGACGCACAGACCCTGTTCTGCCTGCCCCCTCGGATTCCTGGAGGGTGCTGTTCCACGTCCTGCCACTAGGGCTCGCTGCCACCACCTGCTCAGTTTAGGGGTCCTGCATGAGAGAGGAGCCGGACTCTCCGCCCCCCTCCCCCGTTCTGAGGCCTGGCCGGAAGGTCTCCTGCTGCCCAGCACCTGGTTGCCCCTGGGGACCAAAGGCAGATTCCGTCTTCCCCTGGAGGGCTGGCAACAGGTGCCGTGACCCCTTCCCTCCCAATCTGGGAAATTAATAGCATATCCAAGCGGTTGGAGGACTGTGCAGTACAGCCACATCCAATATTAAAAAGGATTTATTTAAAAAGAAAGTAAGTTCAGGCACACTTAATTGCAACAGCGGAGCAGCACGTGGAAGAGCAAAGAAAAGTTGGTTATGAACGCATCCTCCTTTCCCTGGTTCTAAAACTTACTCTGACTAGAGGGCACAGTCAGGGTAGAGAGAGTTGCAGAAGGTTCTGAAGGTGTCCCCTCACCTCGGGCTCCCTGCAGCCAGCGGGCCAGGCCACGTGGCCAAGATGGCCGCCCTGGCCGCCAGACCAGAGCTCAGCAGTCTGTCCTCTTCCAAGGACCGGCTGGCACCAAGAGAGGGCCTCCCTCCTGGGAGCGGGCACTTTTGTTAAACCTCTGGCTCCGCCCATTCTACATCACTCTCTCCACCCCTTTTGACCTGGTCCACCCAGGTCTCACAGGTGGATCCTGGGGCACCCAGGTGCATCTTGGGCCACGGCAGGTGCATCCTGGGATCCTTCCAGGAATGCATTCTGGGAAATCTCCAGGAGTCCCCTGGAGATTCCAAACACCAAATACCCCAGTAACCTTGCAAGTCGAGTTATTTGCATAACTATGGCTGGTAACGGACCTAGCTTCCTGCCCTTCCAGAGAGAAGAGGAAAAACCCAGGAACACTTTAAAAAACTCAGGGGGGGTGGGGGTTTCCATCCACAAAGGGTGATCCAGTAGACATCATATACTTGAAGGCTTAAGAACATAAGAACATAATGTTGGATAAGGCCAAAGGACCATCCAGTCCAACACTCTGTCACACAGTGGCCAGAAATACTAGTGCCATCAGGAGGTCCACCAGTGGGGCCAGGACACTAGAAGCCCTCCCCCACTGTTGACCCCCCCAAGCACCAAGAAGACAGAGCATCACTTGCCCCAAAGTCCCTATCTATACCTTGTGGCTAATAGGCGCCACTGATGGACCTCTGCTCCATATGCTTATCTAATTCCCTTTTGAAGCCCTCCATGCTTGTAGAAAAGAAAGATGACGTCAGGGGGGAGTCCGGCCCCTGTCTTAAGAACATAAGAGACGCCAATGTTGGATCAGGCCAAAGGCCCATCCCGTCCAACACTCTGTGTCACACAGTGGCCAGAAATACTAGTGCCAAGCCCCTAGCTATACCTTGTGGCTAATAGCCACTGATGGACCTCTGCTCCATATGCTTATCTAATTCCCTTTTGAAGCTGTCCATGCTTGTAGCACCCACCACTTCCTGTGGCAGTGAATTCCATGTGTTAATCACTCTTTGGGTGAAGAAGTACTTCCTTTTATCCGTTCTAACCCGACCGCTCTGCAGTTTCATGGAGTGCCCACGAGTTCTTGTATTGTGAGAAAGGGAGAAAAGTACCTCTTTCTTTACCTGCTCTTTCCCATGCATAATCTTATAAACCTCGATCATGTCACCCCTCAGTCGTCTTTTCTCCAAGCTAAAGAGCCCTAAGCGCTTTAACCTTTCCTCATAGGGAAAGTGTTCCAACCCTTTTATCATTCGAGATGCCCCTTTCTGCACTTTTTCCAAAGCTATAATATCCTTTTTAAGGTGTGGTGACCAGTACTGCACACAGTATTCCAAATGAGGTTGCACCATTGATTTATATAGGGGCATTATGATATTGGCTGATCTGTTTTCAATACCCTTCCTAATAATCCCCAGCATAGCATTGGCCTTCTTTATTGCAGTCACACACACTGTCTCGACATTTTCAGTGAGTTATTTACTACAACTCCCAAGATTTCTCTCTTGATCAGTCTCTGCCAGTTCAGACCCCATCAATGTGTATTTATATTTAGGATTTTTGGCTCCAGTGTGCATCACCTTGCACTTGGCCACATTGAACCCCATTTGCCATGTTGACACCCACTCGCCCATCCTTGACCCCGATCCCTTTGGAGTGCCTCACAATCCTCACTGGTTTTCACCACCCTGAACAACTTCGTATCATCCGCAAATTTAGCCACTTCACTGCTTACTCCCATCTCCAAATCATGAATGAACAAATTAAAAAGCAGTGGACCAAGTACTGATCCCTGCGGTACCCCACTGCTTACCACCCTCCACTGAGAAAATTGCCCATTTATACTCACTCTCCGTTTTCTATTAATTAGCCAGTATTAATTAGCTCCTCACTGAAGACTCCTGAGTAAGCCTAGCCGGGGTGGGATAAGAGGATGAGTCCTTTTAAAGGTTAAAAATTGCTTAAATGAGGAGAAGCAGAGGGTAGGAATAAATTGTCAGGGTAACCTTTCATTGTACAAAAAGTGCGTCGGGGGAGGCCTTGGCCTCTGTGTCCCGTTTCCGGGGCAAAAGGTTGGCTGCTGGATGAACTAGGAGGCCGGACGAGATGGGCCCTTCCCGGTCTGGCCCAGCGGGACTCCTCTGATGTCAGCAGGGTCAGCGAGGCCAAGACCCTGGGGCAGAACTGGCGGTGCTGAGGGGCCGAGCCGGGTAGCTGGGGAGGGTCCGTGAGGGGCCAGGAGCCGCCGCCGCCTCTGGTGCTCACCACGTGCTCCCTTCCCTGGGCACAGTGAACTGGCTGGATCACGGGCGCACTCTGCGCGAGCAAGGCATTGAGGACAGTGAGACCCTGCTCCTCCGGCGGAAGTTCTTCTACTCAGACCAGAATGTGGATTCCCGTGACCCGGTGCAGCTCAACCTTCTCTACGTGCAGGTGTGTCCCCTTCCCCGGCCTCCGGCGTGGCCTCTGGAGGAGGGGTCCCGGCTGGGGCAGGAGAGACAGCGGAGGTCCCGGCGGCACTGCTGGGCCTTTCCCGTGGCAGACAGAGGCGGCAGGCCTCGTCCCGTGGCTCTGGGCCCGGGGCGGAGAGGTCACGGTGCTCTGTCCTCCCCCCACCCCCACCCGCAGGCCCGAGACGACATCCTGAACGGCTCTCACCCCGTCTCCTTCGACAAGGCCTGCGAGTTTGCGGGGTACCAGTGTCAGATCCAGTTCGGTCCTCATAACGAGCAGAAGCACAAGCCAGGATTCCTGGAGTGAGTGTGGCTGGCCCTGCCGAAAGGGGCCGGGGGTGTGCATGTGTGTGTACGCGCGCAGGGTTAGGGATGGGGCAGGCCCCCACTGAGGACACGGCCCCCTGGGAAATGTTGATGGAGGTCATCGGACACGTGCGTGCGCACACACACACGTGCACCCACAGTTTTGGCCGTTCCTTATTCATTCCACGCTGCCCGCCGGGGGGGGGTATCCTTCCCGGTCACCGTGGGAAACCTTTGAGGGAGGGGCCCTCTTGCCCCGTCTCCCAGTGCCTGAGGTCTCTTTCTCCCTTCCGACAGTCTGAAGGATTTTCTGCCCAAGGAGTATATCAAACAGAAGGGGGAGCGCAAGATTTTCATGGTGAGTGGAAGTCCGGGGAGGAGGAGGGCAGTGAAAACGCCTCCTGGGATTGGGACCTCTCGGCGTGCTCTCTCTGGCTCCTCCCGGCCACATTCTGTTCCGTCGTCTGGCCTGGCTCCTGCTGTGGGCAGTGGGGAGTCTGTAGGCAGCTTCTTCCCTAAATGTGCCGCTGGCATTCCAGTTGCGTGCATCACGCATTATGCCACAGGCATTGCGCAGGTATCGTCGCCAGGTGCAGGAGAGGCTGCCGCGAGCGGGGCTTTGCCTCCGTGTCCTCCTGTGCGAGGGGAGGTGCAGCCGCAGCTCCTGGGCTTGTGCTGATGTGGGCCCGGGGTGGGGGTGGGAGGCGTGTGGTGCAGGGGGTTTCAGAGAGGCAAGATGGCGGGAGGCTTCCTGGTGTGCTCCTCTTGCAGGCCCACAAGAACTGCGGCAACATGAGTGAGATTGAGGCAAAGGTCCGCTACGTGAAGCTCGCCCGCTCCCTCAAGACCTACGGCGTCTCCTTTTTCTTGGTCAAGGTGAGGTGTGGGTGCTCTAGGGGGTGTTGTGGGCTCTGGGAGGAACTGCTGCCAGGACAATGTGCCGGTCCCCGTGGGGAAAGCGCCGTGGTTCAGCGGCAGAGCCCTCAGCCTGCCGTGCAGCAGGTCCCCGGTTCCATCCCCAGAGGCCTCTCCAGTTGATAAGGGACCGGGAAGGAGGTGACGGGGAAGGACCTCCATGTGCCGGAGACACCCGGGAGGGAGGGAGGGAGGGAGGGAGGCTGCCAGCCTGAGCAGACAGGGGGCTGGCCCTGACGGACGGAGAGGTCTGATTCAGTGGCAGGGGGCTTCGCAGGCGTGTTCAGACGCGTTGCTCTGGGGAACTTGGGGGG